CAGCAGCAGCAGAAGCAGCAGCAGCAGCAGCAGCAGCAGCAGCAGCAGCAGCAGCAGCAGCAGCAGCAGCAGCAGCAGCAGCAGCAGCAGCAGCAGCAGCAGCAGCATCAACGCCCCGCCACGCCAATGCAGACTATTGGCCGTGCTGTTGGCTCTATCGCGGCGTGCGACAACGGGGTGGGGCAGGGCGACGGCTGAGTGGGGGAAATCCCATCAGGGAAACCAAATTTACAAAACCGCCCCGGTCCTGGCGGTAAGTCCGGGCGCCCCGCCCAGCCCGGCGCCCTCCCTGTGCACAGTGGCAGAGCGCGTTGCGGCGCGGTTATGCGCTCCTGGTAAGGCGTGGTCGAGGGGGAAATCACTAGGGTTCGTAGCGTACGGACCATTTCGTGGTATTTCTCCTGCCATTTCGTCTATTTCTCGCCTATTTCGCGCTATTTCGGAGTAATTCAGGGGTATTTCGCGACTATTTCGCGTCTATTTCGTCTTTATTTCGCCTTTATATCAGACTATTTCTGGGGGAAAGTGCACGAACTATTTCGCAAGTGATTTCCCCCTCGGGCGTGGTGGGGCGTGGTGGGGCGTGGTGCGGCATGGTGGGACATGGTGGGGCATGGTGGGGCATGGTGGGGCATGGTTGGACGAGGTGGGGCGAGGTGGGGCGAGGTGGGGCGTGGTGGGTGCGGCGGGCCGTGGCGTGTGGCGGTGGCGTGGCACGGTGGGCGCGGCGCGGCGCAGCGAGGCGAGGCGTGGGCGCGGGATTTGGCCGACGGAAAGGCAGTGGTGCGGAAATCGTCCAGCCGCCCCGCCACCCTCGCGAGGCCCTGCCCTGCGCCCCGTGCAGCTAGCGCGACCACCTGCTCCGCTACCGCCCGCCACACACACACACTCTTCACTTGCTCCCACTCTCCACCCACCACATCCCTCATACTCACTTCTCCCCCGAACCCGCCGCTGTCGGACTTCCCCATCTCCAGTTTTGCCGCGCCTCGTCGCTGGGTCCAAACTCCGGGGGCCAACCTCCCGAGCCGGGGGCCGAGCTGGGGGGTTGGCCCTCGACTCACCGTAGTGCACTTCCGGCCGCTCAAACAAGAGGACGACGGCGCTAAAGCCCTTCAGCAATGAGGCGCGGCCGCCCCGCCCCGCCCCGCCCAAAACCCCGCGCAAAGTTGGTTCCGCTCGCCGCCGCTCCACGAGTTTGAAGCGGGCGCGTCCGCGAGTCCGTCCGATGAGGCGATATGGGCCTTCCTCTCCTCGCCGCGAACCAGAGCCGAGCAGGCCGAGGGCGGCGCCCGGCTGTCCGGTGCGCTCGGGGGAGAGAGCAGCGCCGGCGACCTTAATAATAACGACGCCGTGCGGCCGATGCAAACCAAAGCGGGAAGGAAAAAGGAGGGAAAAAGGAAGGAAGCAGCGGCAGGGATCATCGGGCGCGCGGGAATAGGAAGGAGAGGGGATCGCAACAAATGAGCCCCGCCTCGCCTTATCGACAACGGATTGGACACAAAATAACTCAACGCGCCTGGCGCGGCGCAGAGGCGATAAGCATAGGGGGGGACCTGCGGCACTAAAAACTAACCCCCGCCGCCCTCCACTCCTGAGCAACCCCTGCGTCCACCTCCACGTCCACCTCCACCACCTCCCCC